GAAACTGAGGCACACCAAGCAGTGCCCAGGAAACCCAGAACTGTCTGGCTTCCTGTCTTGATAACAAAATAGTCATCATCCTGGAAGTCATCTGTGTAAATAGGGGTGTGTCCCTTGCCCACTCTGGTCCTCAGTTTTTCTGTCTTTGGAGTGGCTTGGGTAAATTTTCCATCTTTCTTCAACAGTGACCGGAATAGCGCTGGATCACAGCAGGCGCTCAGGACCTGCCTAGCTGAGGTTCACTGCTTTTGGGTTTTGTCTGGGTACTGGGCTCCAGGCTCTGGCAGCCCTACCTCCTTCTACATTCCTCAAGGTAGGGGTTTTGATCCTTGGGGTCTCTGGTCACCACAGACACCTGCTCATTGTCTCACATACCCTTTCCCCCCAGAACTGCCAGCAGAGGAGCCAGCTGTTCCTGAAATAGACCAGAGGAGGAGGGAATGACCACTGGGCTCCTGGATGTGGGGTTCCTGGTGAGTTCCACCACCCTCATGCCTGGGCCTCCCAGACTTGAGAGACACCCCTTCTCCCCCCGCCAAACCAGCTTGGCCTTGTGCTGCTTCACCAGCTGCTCCCACCAGCAGCCAATGCCAGGCTTGCCCTAGCTGAGGAAACTGCTGTGTGATGTTCCAGGAGCAAGTGACCTTTGATGATGTGGTTGTGGGCTTCACCCAGGAGGAGTGGAGACAGCTGACACCTGCCCAGAGGACCCTATACTGTGATGTGATGCTGGAGACCTTGGGGCTCCTGGTCTCTATGGGTAAGGCTATACTGTATTACTCAAAGACTTCCCCGGGTATGGACGCTAATTCTCCTGGGTTAAAAGTGGGGGTAAGTCCAGGCATTAAAAGCAGATAACTCAAATGTGTCTTGGATCTGATGGACCAGACTGTTTTGGTTTAGGGAATATCTTTGAGGATGTTTTTTCCTACAAGTTACACATCCCACCTGAAAATGCCAGAGGCAGGACATCATGGTGTAAGAGGGCCATACGGGGTCCCAGCACTGCAGAATCCCAGGCTACACCTGGGTTTTCCTATGTTGCTGTCAGGAACTCCCCTCCTCCCTGTGTACATCTTACTGTCACTATTCACTGAGGGGCCGGGTCCTCTGAAAGTGACAAGACTGTTGCCAGGATCCAAGGGTGCCCAAGGAAGGCCCATGGGTTGTCTTGTTTCAGCCACCAGGTCCCCTCCACATTGGTCATTGTTGCCACTGGGCAGCAGAAGAAAAGCTCTCACTGGGTGGCCGGGCCTGCATCACATGCCTACCCCAGTGTCAGGGGTGGAGTCAGGGACTGACAGTGAGTAGAGGAACGCTGGAGAATATAATTACCAAAATTACTGTGTCCTGTCTCTGTTCTGAGCCACTTGGGTCCTGGTGAAATGGGCAGAGGTTTGGGAAGGGCCCTGAAACACAAATGCTCATGCCCTGAATCTCCCCCTGAGCAGGACAGTGGATCCCAACACCCAACCTTATCTCTCTGCTGGATCAGAAGGCGGAGCAGTGGCCGGTGGGCGAGGAGGTTCTACAAGGTGTGTGCCCAGGTGAGATGAGGGTGTGTAGGGCTGGGAGGACGCCACTCACCCTCCAGGTCTCTCTCTCCATATCTGCTGTCAAATTCAAAGTACAGCGACCATTCTTTAAGTGAACTTTCACCAAGGACCATTTTGGTACGAAGTGATACCAAGTTCCTGTCTTCACTGAATTTACATTTTTGGTGAAGGAGAGGGACACACAATAAATAGCCAAAATAACAACAGGGAAAGAGAGCTTACAGATTATGAAGCATGCTGACAAAGTGAAAGGTAGAGACTAGACTTGGGGGAAGGTCTTGAGCAGGGAGATGAGGGCTTGCCTCTCAAAGGAGGTGACATGGCAGGTGAAGCCTGACCCATGAGAATAGTGGGACATGAAACGATCAGGGAGAACAGAATTCCAGGCCAAGGAAATGATAAGTGCAAAGACACTGGGGTGGTACAGGTCTCTTACTGGATAACAGACACTCCAGCCTCAGTGCTTTAAACCAGAGACTCACCCAGCCAGGTGCGGCTCAGCAGTTGAGCGTCAACCTAGATCCAGGAGATTGCGGTTCGATTCCTGGTCAGGGTACGTGCCCAGGTTGCGGGCTCAATCCCCAGTTGGGGGCATGCAGGAGGCAGCTGATCATTGACGACTCTCTCATCATTGATGTTTCTCTCTTTCTCCCTCTCCCTTCCTCTCTCTGAAATCAATAAAGATATATTATTAATTAATTTAATTAAATAAATAAACCAGCAACTCACTTATAACTCCGGCATCTGTGGGCCAGTGGTTCTAGGCCAGGCTCTTCCATGTGCCTGTAGGTTGGCTGGGTGGTTCTGCTCTTATTGCTGTCCAGCTCCTGGCAAGTACCTCTGTAGGAAGTGGGGGCATCCTGGCCCTCTGTCAGGCAATTTCCTGCTGGCATCAGGCTCTAACCATGTGTAAGAACTGGCCCATCACCCCTGCCCAAGGATAGACATGTGTGGGAGGGGGAGGTCAGAGCATGGTCTCCCTTGCCTCAATTCAAATTACCAGCCTTCACCGTTTATTAACCTCATGGTATTGCTGTAACAAATGACCACAAATGTAAGACATGAAGCAACACATATGATCTTACAGAAGTCACCAGTCCAAATGGGTCTGACTGAGTACACTGTAGGTGTCAGCAGAACAGCATTCCTTCTGGGGGGTCTGGAAGAATCCATGTCCTTTCATTTTCCAGCCTCTATAGGTTGCCACATTCCTTGACACATGACCTTCTCTATCTTCAGTGTCAGCAGTGCCTGGTCAGGTTACATATGTCACCGTCACCCTTATTCTCCTGCCTTTCTCTTACACACTTAAGTACACTGTGGTCACCCCAAAAATCCAAGGTAATCTCAGGTGATTGGCTAATGTCAAATGATTAGCAGCCTGTTTTCCTTGTCGACATGTAAGGTGACAGCATACTCACAGGTGCAGGACTTACGAGGTGGATGACTTTGGGAGACACTATTCTGCCAATTGCCCTTGACTGTTTTTCCCCCCTTAACTTTCCACTAAAGTGTAACATAAGTGGGAAAGGTGCCAGCATCACACCAATAGGCCAGGCCAGTGTCGGGGTGGTGGCTTGGTACCTGCGCAGAAAGGCCATCCTGACAGGAAGGTGTGGGAGGGACTGTGTGTTGTGGTTTTGTGTTTGTTTTTTGTTAATCCTCACCTGGGGTATTTCTTCCATTGATTTTCAGAGAGAGTGGAAGGGATGGAGTGATGGGGGGGGTGGGAGAGGGGGAGAGAGGGAGACATTGATGTGAGACAGAATGATTGGTTGCCTACCGCATGTGGCCTGATTGGGGCCGGGGATTGAACCTGCAACACATGTACGTTCCCTTGACCAGGAATTGAACCTGAGGCCCTTTGGTGCTCAGGCCCATGCTCTACTGACCCACACTAGCCCAGGGTGCATGTGTTTTTCATTCAGAATGTGTGTTGACCCCTATTGTGGGTGGGGTACAGTGCTAAGTCTTGCAAAGGCCCTGCCCCTGGGGTCCTCCTAGTTAGAGCTACAGAGTAAGCCAGCTCAAAGTGCTCTACCTCACCAGTCATTTATCCACTCCCTTGGTGATGTATATTTCAGCAGTTCCCAGTTTAGGGAGATGATGTGTTTCTTTACATCTGCGGTAAAGTGCTACAACAGTAAGGGGCCTCCAAGAAGAGTCTGGCTTTGAGCAATGAGAAGGCTGACTGGTCCTTCCCACATGGTGGCTTTTCTTCTACTACCATTTGGCGTAGTGGAGGCTGCACTAGCAGGTGCTTGACTGTTGTTCTGCTCTTTCCAAGCCTGGGCATCTGTTGACATTTTTCCTGAAGGCTCACTTTTTCCTCAGCATCTTCTCTGGCCCAAACTGTCTGTGTCCCCCTTGCCAACTCCATCTGTAGCTTTGATACCAACTTCCCTCACCTATTCTGTGTACTTTACCTCCCTCTTCTGTTCCTTTTATGGTTTGAAAAACCATATGGGTAAATGGTCACATCCACTTAAGTCTTGAACCTTTTGAAACTGTTAATTTAATTCTCCCATTCATGTGTCCACCAAGAAACTTTTCCTCCCAGAACAGCGATTTAGGGACAATTCCATTTTTTTGTTTTATTTTTTCAGATTTGGAAACTAGATTGAAAACAAAATGGTCAGCTGCAAAACAAGACATTTCTGATGAACTATCCAACAATGTCCTGGTAGAAAGGTTCCTGTGGGATGGTCTGTGGGCCATTAAGGGTGAAAACACTGAGGGGCACTGGAAACAAAGTTGTGCCAGCCTTGATGGTGTGGTGCAGGCAGTCTTCACACCTGTGAAGACATGCATTCAGGACCACCAGCAGCCCAGAATTGGGTTTGGGGCAAACTTAGGTTTGAGTCCGGATCCAACTAAACCCATGATTCCTGTAAGACAAGACTCCCACAGGTGTGGCTTGTACGGAAAAAGTGAGAATCCGGACTTAAATGTGCAACAGAAAACCTATGCAGCAGAAAAACCCTATAGATGTCAAGAGTGTGAAAAGGCCTTTAGTCACAGCTCCACATTCATCAGCCACCACCAAATGCACACAAGAGAGAGACCTTATAAAAGTTACCAATATGGAAAAGGCTTCCAAAGCTCTGCACTTAACAAACACGATGGAATCCACACTGGTGAGAAACCCTGTAAATGTACACAGTGTGAGAGGACCATGAACCAAACTGAACCACTGATCCAAAGAAGTCACACAGGTGAGAAGCCCTACAAGTGCAATGAGTGTGGGAAGTCTTTCAACAAGAGCACACTCCTGAGTAAGCATAGGAGGATTCACACAGTAGGTAAACCCTATGGGTGCAATGAGTGCAGGAGAGCCTTCAGCCAGAACACACTCCTGAACAAACATCAGAGAATCCACACAGGAGAGAAGCCCTTTGGGTGCAAGGAGTGTGGAAAAACCTTCAGCCACAGCTCATCACTCAGCCACCATAAGCGGACACACACAGGAGAGAAGCCCTACGAGTGTAGTCAGTGTGACAAAACCTTTTGGCACAGCACACACCTCAGTCAGCATCAGAGAATCCACACAGGGGAGAAACCCTATGAGTGTAGTGACTGTGGCAGAGCCTTCACCCACAGCTCATCCCTAACCAATCACCAGCGAATCCACACTGGGGAGAAGCCCTATGAGTGTAATGAATGTGGCAGGGCCTTCAGACAGCTCGCTTCACTCATTCAGCATCAGAGGATCCACACAGGAGAGAAGCCCTATGAGTGTAATGAATGTGGCAGAGCCTTCAGCCAGAGCTCCCTCCTCATCGAACACCAGAGGATCCACACCAAAGAAAAGCCTTATGCATGCAATGAGTGTGGGAAGTCCTTCAGTCACAGCTCATCCCTCAGTCAGCATGAGAGGACACACACTGGGGAAAAGCCATATGAATGTCCAGATTGTGGGAAATCTTTCAAGCAGAGTACACATCTCACTCAGCACCGGAGGATCCACACAGGAGAAAGGCCTTATGAGTGCAGGGACTGTGGGAAGGCCTTCACACACAGCTCCTCCCTGACCAAGCACCAGAGAACTCATACTGGGTAGAGACACTCTACATGAGTTGAGTCATAGGAAGCCTTAAACCATAGTTCATCCCTTCCTACACATGACCCCAATCATACTCATGAGCAAGATGGCATGCACATGCCTTTACACGCAGTACCCTCCTCAGATCATGCTAACAGTAGGGAAATGGGATGATCAATGTTGAGGACCTTTAGCCATGAGCATCCATTAACATAGAACCCACAGAAGAGAAGTGGGAAAATGCAGTAGATATGGGCATGACTTCTGTCCATGGATACACAAGATTCCAAACCAGAAATTTCCAATTGGTGAAAACCCAACAACTGTCTTTTATATAAAAGAACCAAGTGCAGTGAGACTTTACCATTATTGTACATTACATTCTTTGGGTTGGGGATTATTTATGAATGGTGCAGACTGACTCTGATACTCCTTAAAAACTGTATGGCAGAGTGTTCCACACATATGAGTGACACCTGTTTGGAATCACTGCATACTCAATTGTCTCAGTATGAAGTTTGCTGATTTGTGTATAAATCACTTATCTGGTCAAGAACACATCTAATGTTTGAGTTCTCCTTGCAATATTCATACCAATTGGGAAACCACCAAGTTCTGAATGCTAGTAATGATGTTACCAATTTCCCTTGACTTCTGTTACCTGATAGCATCTATGCTTTTTTTCTAGTTTTGTTTCATACATCATCAAAACAAATCTAATGTATTCTATTCTCCTACTAGAATGCTTTTTCCCCCACCTTAACAAGAAACAATCATACCAATATTTTAAAAATCAAATTAAATTTTATCTCTTAAGGTACATGGCAAGGAGTCTCAGATTTGAATTCCATGTGACAAAGTATCTGTACTATAAACTGGTTTAAGTTACTTATCTGCATTCTTTTGCAATAAATCCTTTTCAGTAGGTTTTTTGTTTGATTTTTGTAGTGGTTTGAGAAAAGTAATTCCGAAACTATTTTAGATGTAATTCAGCATCCAGCTAATTTTGGGGATCTCAGAGTTCTATTGTAGGGACATAAAAATTTGGGGGTTATAGATTGGAATTGTATTTGTGCACACATATACCTTTATGTGTGTACCTACATGTGCACATGTATGTGCCTATATTTCCTAGCTCAGCAGAAGACACCCTAGTAGCAAGAAGCACTTGCTACCTGGAACTCAGATTTGATCCCTAATACCATCCCCTACTAAAGGGAATGAATTCTTTGGAACTGGAGAAATGGCTGAAGAAAGTAAAAAGATTAGCTTGGAAGATCTTACACTAAAATAAAAAGTAGTGCTCCAAAAATATAAGTATTCCACAGTGATGCAAACTTCCTATAAGACTCTTATTGACCTTATCTAGGACAACTTCATCACCAACATAAGTAACAGCAGTAAGTTATAAACCATTGAGAAAACAAATCCATGAGTATATTTGATAATGACAAGTAAATGGGAATAAAGGAGGGTACTGGCAGCAGAGTGTACCTGTAAGGCCCCCAGGGCAGCACAACCTGTCAAGTGCAACAGGTCATCCCTCTCTTCTTGTAGCCTCCTACTCCCCATTCTCTGACGCTTACCCTCTCCTCCACAGTGACACCCCTCAATTCAAGTTCCAAAGAAGGAAATTATTATGTCCTAGGCCTGTATGTTCCTTATGAAGTTGTTATAGCAACAATATATTACTTGTAACAAAGGAAAAATCACAAATTACAGTTTCCTAAGAAAACCACATTTATTTCTCCATGACCAACATCCACTCTACACCCACATATAAACATATCTTCAAATGACTGTCATACAGCAAGTCTACTTTATGCAACTTTTATGTTGTTGCCTGCCATATTATAACATTTCAATATGGCAACAAAATCTTTATAATTATGGTTCAGCATGGAACAAATCAGAAGTGTCCTAACTGAACAACAGGGTGAAAAATGTAAACATGACAGTTCAGTAATTTTGTCCCAACAACTAAAACAATGCATCACGTTTCTACAGCAGCCTGTTCCATCCTAGTACAAAACCAATTCAGTCTTAAGAGGGATAATGTCACTGCTCATTTACAAGCAACATCGTCCTCCAAGCGCCTCTTCTGAAATGAGTTCTCAACACCTGGCAGGTGGGAAATACATCCAAACATCAATCTCCTCTAACTGTGCGCTTAATATGGTGTGGAGCACTGTGGGGGTCTCTCACCAGGATATCACTGCTGATATAAGAGATCCTGCCGAAAGCTGCTCTCACTGGTTACACTTGATTCTGGTAAGAGTTTGATTATGTACAACAGGCAGACACTCCGGATTAATGGATTCCTTGTACCGATTAGTTATGGAACACATTCACAGGTTCTTTCCAGTTTACGCACTCTGACTCAGGAGCAGCTGGGTGTCTCAAGAAGCATCTTCGTGATACCCACAGGTTTTATTCCAGTGTATGTGCTATCATGTTCCATACAAGTTGATCATCCCTGAAGCCTTTTCCACATTTATTACCATCCTGGGTTCCCTCTAGGTGTTCCCTAATGTATCGACTTGATAGTTTGGCTAAGGAATGCCTCACATTCAATTTAGTGGATAGGGAAGAGAAATAGTAAAAAATAATATCCTATATTTAAAAACCATGTTTGTGATGTGACCCCATGCATGCAAAATTATGTACACATAAGGAGATGGGGAAAAGGCTGGCTACCGGAATACTAATGATGATTATCACAGAGGGTGGCACTGCAGGTGACTTACTTTGTTAAAAAAAAAAAAAATTTCTTAGTCCTGGCCAGGTAGCTCAATTGGTTAGAGAATCATCCCAATATGCCAAAGTTGTGGGTTTGAATCCCTGGTTAGGGGACACACAAGAATCAACCAATGAACGCTCAAATAAGTGGGACAACAAATCAATGTTTCTCCCTTTCTCTCTTTAAAAAAAAATCGATAAATTAAAACACAAAGATTTCATCACATGAATTTAAATTTAAAAATTTCTTTTGTACTGATGGAGGAGTCAGCCCTGATGTCACCCTTCCCTCACACAGGTTTCTGAGAGCTCTCAGGAAACGAGTGTATCCCCACCCATTATGTTTCTATGGTTTGCTTTCCAGGGTGTGTTCTCTGATGTCGAACTAGGGATGAGCTCCTTTTGAATGTTTTCCCACACTGAGAACACTGGCAGGGATCCTCCTTGCTGTGGAGTCTCTGATGTACTGCAAGGTGAGAGTTCTGCTTGAAGGACTTCCCACACTCTGGACACTGGTATGGGGTCTCCTTGGTGTGAATTCTCTGGTGCTTTGTCAGACAGGAGCTGTCCCTGAACGCTTTGCCACACCTACTACACTCATAGGGCTTCTCACCAGTATGAGTCCTCTGGTGCCTGATGAGGCCGGCGATGTTCCTGAAAAGTTTCTGACACTGGTCACAGCCATAGGGCTTCTCACCAGTGTGAATTCTCTGGTGCCTGATGAGGTACGCGCTCTCAATGAATGTCTTCCCACACTCTTTACACTCATAGGGCTTCTCCCCAGAATGAATTTTCTGATGCACGATGAGGTGAGAGTTACGATTGAAGGATTTCCCGCACTCCACACATTCAAAGGGCTTCTCTCCAGTGTGAGTCCTCTCATGCTGGGTGAGGTACGAGCCATCCCGGAAAGCCTTTCCACACTTGCTACATTCGTAGGGCTTCTCTCCAGTGTGGATTCTGAGATGGACAGTGAGGTGTGAGATATCCGTGAAAGGCTTCCCACACTCATTACATCTGTATGGTTTTTCCCCTGTATGAGTTCTTTGATGCAAAATCAGGGATGAGTTTCGGTTGAAGGTTTTTCCACATTCTATACATTCATAAGGTTTTTCCCCGGTATGAATTCTCTGGTGTTGTGTCAGAGCTGACCCATCACTGAAGGCTTTCCCACACTTATTGCATTTGTAGGGCTTCTCTCCTGTGTGGATTCTTTGATGCACAATCAGGTTATAGTTTTTGGAGAAGGATTTTCCACATTCATTACAGGTATAAGGTTTCTCTCCAGTGTGTGTTCGGTGATGTAATACAAGAGAAGAGTTCCGTTTGAAGCATTTGCCACATTCGGTACACTTGTACAGCCTCTCTCCAGGGTGACTCCTCCTGTGTTCATTAAGAGATGAACTCAAGGTAAAGATGTTCCCAAAGTCCTTGCCTTCATACAGTTTCTTCCCTCTTTTTGTTATTTTTTGTTCACCAAGAGGGGTAAAATGGTTGAAAGACTCAATACTTTCAGGAAATTTATAGGGCTTCTCTCTCATTTGATTTCTTCCGAGTTGTTGAATAACTTCCATGGAATGGCTGAAGACTTTTCCACAAGCATCAATGTCACCAGTTCTCTTAGCTATACAACTTTTCTGAGAAGTGTGTAAAGCCGGATCACAACCCAGACTTCTAATCTCTGAGTCGTGTACATGGAAACCATTTGTTGCAAGAATCCTCCGAGATGTTGAAAGGTCTGAGCTTGCACTCCAATGCCTCCCAAGTCCCGGATACTCACAAACTGCTTCCTGGGCCCCTGGCTTTTCCTGAGTTAAAGCTGACTGCCTCAGGTGTCCCTCCCAGTTCTTACAGTTCCAACTGTCACCTGGAATGGAGAAATGGGAACCCTCTCTCGTAAATCCTTCCATTTCCACATCACAGGGTAGTTCTTCCTCAGGAACATTCTGGGCTGTCATTTTCAGTGCCCTGTTGCAGGCTGATAAATGAAGGAAAAAGACTTTGGTAGGTGAAGCTATGTCTGGAAGGATAATGAAAAATGGTGACAGGCAGGGATGTGGGTACTTTTACTTGTTTTCTTTCTCAAATTCACATCTGTACAAGGGGGAGATAAGTTGAGAATCAAAGGATGGAGGCAAGAACAAGGTCAAAGAGAGCTATAGAGTGTTTTCCTCCTCATAAAGAACAGGCACGAGGAACAGTACTGTGGGTATATATCACCAACAGGATTAGCCTGCAATGTGGGAAACCAGGTGTCACTGTTCACATTGGAACACCTTCTCAGCCACTGTATCCTAGTCCCTGTCGCCCACTGCCCATACAACCACTTGCACGTTTTCAAAGCCTCAACTTCACAATGTGTGTACAACAGCGCTGAATGAGCAGCTCATGCCCCAGCTTGGTGGTCAGAGTTCTACCTTCACAGATGGGATGCAGCACAGGCTCAGAGACCACACTGCAGGATTATTAGGTGAGCTAGATCATGTCTGAGGCTGGCTCTGGGCTGGAGAAAAGACAAAGCTCTGTAGATGGCTGCCAGAGTCACCACCATTCTCAAGCCTCCTCTAACCACCCTCCCACCTCTCCACTTCATGATATCAAGACAAGTGACTCTCCACATATATTGTAGGTAAAATGAAATTAGACCCTTACCTAAGAAAAAAATAGTTTTTTAAAATTCCAGGTGGATCAAGACCTCTACATAAAATCAAAGTTTGTATTATCTAGGATAGCCCGGCCAGCATGGTTCAGTGGTTGACCATCGACCTATGATCCAGGAGATCACAGTTTGATTCCCGGCCAGGACACATGCCGAAGCTGTGGGCCTGATCCCCAGTAGGAGGCATGCAGGAGGCAGCCAATCAATGATTCTCATCATTGATGTTTCTCTCTCTCTGAAATTAATAAAGACATACTTAAAAAATATATATATATATATATATGTGTGTGTGTGTAGGATAGCCCTGGCTAGTATGGCTCAGTTGGTTGAAGTGTCGTCCCATACACCGAAAGGTGGTGGGTTCAATTCCCAGTCAAGGCACACACCTAGGTTGTGAGTTTGATCCCCAATTGAGGTGCATGTGAGGGGCAATCTATGGATGTTTCACTCTGACATCAACATTTCTCTCTCTCGCTCTCTCCTTCTCCCTTCCTCTGTCTCTCAAGATCAAAATAAATAAATACATGAATACATATATACACATATATATATACATAAGTTATGCAGGATGCCTTCATGAATGGGGCACTCCTGGATCAACAGGGCTTAACAAGAAAAATCATGCAGATAAGAATTAACAACTCTGATATTAAAAATGTTCACACACCAAAGACACAATAAGAATCAAAATACAAATGGCAGGTGGAGATGCAACATCATAATATATAAAAGAGACAAAGGAACAGTGACTAGATCTAAAAAATTTTCAAGAGAAAAGAAAAAAAGGGTAAAGGATACAAAGAAGCACTTCACAGAGAGAAAATAGAAATGCTCTGAAAACAGTGATATCTGCTCATTCCCAGCTTCAGGCAATTACAAACTGCAGCTTTTTAAAAAATCTTCACCCAACATGTTTTTGTTGGTTTTAGAGAAGAAGGAAGAGGGAGAAACAATGTGACAGAGAAACATCAATTGGCTGCCTCTCATACACTCCCTGATAAAGGATCAACCCACAACCTGGGCATGTGCCCTGACTAGGAATCAAACCTGCAACCCTTTGGTGCACAGGATGATGCCTCAACCTCAGAGCCACACCAGTCAGGGCCAAACTGCAACTTTAAGAACACAAAATATACACATTTCATATGAATAAAAGTAAAACAAGGGCCCTTGTAAAACAGGTGACTCAGTAGGTTACAGTGTCAACTCCGATATGCCAAGGTTGTGGGTCCAACCCCCAATCAAGGCATACACAAGAATCAAACAATGAATGCATAAATAAGTGAAGCAACAAATTGATGTTTCTCTCTCTCTTTTCCTCTCTATAAAATCAAATTTTTTTATTTAAAAAGTAAGAGTGTGAAAATATAAAGCTTGGACAGGTCATGCAGGAAGAATTGGTGGACACTGAGAATGGTGAGGCCACTTAGTGATCTGGTAGCAGCCACTGAAACATAAAATGGGCACATCCCTGCACCCAGTGAACCACCTGCTGACATCTTAGACTCAGAAAGCATAAGTCCTGAGCATAAGTGTACATCATTCTATACCAAGGAGGCAGTCTTAAAGGCCAGCAGGGAAAAGACAGGCCAATGGTGAAGGAATGAAAAGTATCATGATGGACCCCTCCATAGCAAAATAGAAAACCACAGGTAATGGGAGATTACTTTCAAAATGCTGAGGAAAAATACTGTCTGATATCTTATTATTCAAGAGTTAAGCTCTGGCTGGGTAGCTCAGTTGGTTAAAATGTTGTCCTACTATCCCAAGGTATCGGGTTTGATCTCTGATGAGAAGTCATACAAGAATCAAAACAATGGATGCATCAATAAGTGGAACAGCAAATTGATATTTCTCTTTCTCTCTCTCTCCCTCCTCCCTTCCTTTCTGTCTAAAATCAGAAAATAAAATAAATAAAATAAAATAAATAAAAATTAGAGAAGTTGTTTTTCAAGACTCCAAACCCAAAGGAAATGATGAATGTGCATTTAAATCAAAGCCAGCCCTAGCCTGTTTGGGTCAGTGGTTAGAGTGCCAGCCTGAGGACTGAAGGATCCTGGGTTAGATTCTGGCCAAGGGCATGTACCTTGGTTGCAGGCTCAATCCCTGGCCCTGGTCAGCACACAAGCCAGAGGCAACCAATCGTGTGTCTCTCTCACATCAATGTCTCTCTCTGTGTCCCCCCGACCCTGCCCCCGCGCTTTCCACTGTCTCTGAAAAGCAATGGAAAAAATATCCTCGGGTGAGGATAAAAAAACACACAATAAAATGCAGCAGTAGCCCTGGCCAGTGTGGCTAAGTTGGTTGAGCATGATCCCATGCACCGGAAGTCAGCACTTTGATTCCCGATGAGGGCACATGCCTGGGTTGCAGGCTCAATCTCCACTAGGGGTCATGCAAGAGGCAGCCGGTTGATGTTTCTCTCTCATCAATGTTTCTATCTCTCTATCCCTCTCCCTTCCTCTCTCTCTAAAATCAATAACTTTTTTTTAATTATGCTCACATTTTTTTAAAAAAGACTATATATTGTATTTCCACTTATATGAAGTCTAGAATATGCAAATGCAAAGACAGAAAGTAGATTAGTGACTGCTTAGGGCTGAAAGAGACAGAGGAGATGAGGAGTGACTAATGAGCACAGGCTTTCATTTTGGGGATTATAGAATTATTCTAAAACTGTTATTGGTAATGGATAAACCACCTAGTGAATATACTCAAAACCAGCGAATTTTAAACCTTAAGATGGTGAACTGTATAGTTTGTGAATTATATTTCAATAAAAGTGCATTAAAAAAAGTAAGTAGGTATTGAGTCTGTCAGGGTCATAACCACTGGTCTAGACCCCACCTGGCACGATTTTTTCTGGTACCTTTCTTTCTTTTTCAGTATGTTTTTATTGATTTCAGAGAGGAAAGGAGAGGGAGAAAGAGATAGAAACATCAATGATGAGAGTCAGTGTCTCGCTGCCTCCTGCACGCTCCCTACTGGGGGGTCAAGCCCACAACCCAGGCATGTGCCCTGACCAGGAATTAAACAGTGATCTCCTGTTTCATGGGTTGACAACCACTGAGCCACGCCAGCTGGGCCAATTCTGGTACCTTAAGACTTCATGAAGTAACAGTTTTATAGGATGTGTAGAATTCCTTTCCCAGGCACTCACCTCTGAAGGACTTTATCCCCAGACTCTATGACTCTGCAGAGAAACCCACTTAGGTTCAGTCTCTGAATGTTTGACATCAATGGTTGCCAAACCTCAACTGTACGAGACCATCTGCACAGTTCCTGCCATCTCTGTGAACCAAACACAATGTTTACTTGTTCAAATAATGCATTCATTTTTTTAANTAAATTTTTGTTTAAAATATTACAGATGTCTCTTTTTCTCCCCAATGACCCATTCCACCCTGTCCCATTCCCCTCCTCAGTCTCTCTCCCCACCACTGTCTGGGTCCTTCGGTTGTGCGTATATGCATAAATAATGCTTTAACAAAAATAGTTTGCCACCAACTTTACCCCTGTCCTAACAAAAAGTCACCCACCTGACTACCAATTAGATGAAGTCTGACTCCATTTTTAATGACTGACTGCTGACAGCTTTCAAGCACCGCCCCCCAACTCCCTTCTCCTCCTTTCACCCCACATCTAGGTGAGCTAAGGAGAAAGCCTGAATACTTTCTCCTTGGAGTTGGCAGAAAGTTCAAACCATGAAAGCCCCAAGCAAGGCAAGGCCACCCTCATCCCGGCTCCACACTCTGATCACAATAAAAGCCCAGCCAGTCTCTTTTCCTGCTCTCTCAGGCTATTTTTGGATTACCTTGAGAAGGCTACACTGCTTTCCCAAGACTGTCTCATTATGTGAATAATCAACCTTTTATCTTTTGGGGGTGTGTGTATGTGTGTGTGTGTGTGTGTAAAATATATAAAGAATGTGTGTATATATGTGTTTGAGGCAGGGAGAAAAGAAAAATAAAGCTTTTGTGGCAAAGTGTAAACTTGAGAATGGTTTTACGAGTGTTCATTGAACTAGTCCTGCAACTTTTCTGTAGGTGTGACACGTTTCAAAATCAAAAGTTGGTCCCAAACAAGAAAAAACTAATGGTGTTCTTCATCACCAAACCAGTATTACAAGAAATGTTAAAGGGTCTTCTTTAAAAAGAAAGAATATAAATAATAAAATGACAGCAACTACAAATCTATCAATAATTATTTTAAGCCCTGGGTAGTGTGGCTCAGTTGGTGGGAGTGTGGCCTACTGAAAGGTTTCGGGTTCACTTCCAGGTCAGGACACATACCTAGATTTCGAGTTCCATCAGTGGTTGTACAAAATCAGTAAAACATATCTTTGGATGAGGATTAAAAAATACTGATAATAATACAGTGTTTAACACTTCACTATTAAATATAATAATAATATTGTAATAACTATGTACAGTGCCAAATGGGTACTAGATTTATCAAGGGGATCACTTCATAAATTATATAAATGGCTAACCACTACGCTATACACCTTAAACTAACATCACATTGAATGTCAACTGTAACTGAAAAATAAAAAATAAATAAAATTTTAAAAGTTGGCTGGGAAGAGAGAGAAAACAAGCCATAGGATGGAGGAGAGTTACTTGCTGTGGGGGAAATAAACCAAAGATTTGGTATTGAAAACATTTTCACAAGCCTAAGTGCCTAACAACCAAATTTTTTAAATTGTGAAAGGGTAAGTGATCTTTCTGGGGTGGTGATAACTTTGAGCGTTTGGTGGCATCTATCAATACTCATCCAGTAGTACAATGCAGATCTGTACCTCAATTTTGCCTCAAAATTTATAAAAAGTAATAAACTCTAGTCAATCAAAGAATGCATAAATAAGCGGAACAACAAATTGATGTTCTTCTCTCTCAAAAGTAATAGTCTCTTAAAGTTTTTTTTATAAATGGTATTGAACTCTAATTGCCGTTAAGCACGGTGAGGCATCTGAGAGGGAAATGTAATGGTACCTGCCACTTAATTTAAATGTTTCCCAAAGAAGACTTAACGGACGGGACAAGAAAGGACAGGCCAAATAGGACAGAGCGAATACCGAGATGTTACTGGGCCGGTACAAGGCCGAGGGAGGATTTCCACTTTCTACCCGCATGAAAACTCTACCACGGCCTCCTGGGGGACGGAGCTAAGGAAGCGAACCGCTAGAGCCCAGGGAGAGAAGAGCGAACCGGCCACCAAACGGGGAAGCGCCGCGGCCCGCCCCGGGAACCGCACCCGGCTGGCTTGGCAGACACCAGGTGCTGGGAGGCGAACAGGGGCGCCGGCGGGCCCGTGGGAAACCGCCCGGGTCACGGGTCACAGGCGCCGAGG